TGGAGATGAGCTAACCTAACAAATGTACATCTACACTTCTATTCCTATTCCGCCTTTACAAATGTACACATATAATTCTGGCCCTATTCCATCTTTACATATATACATGTCTTTAAAATAGTTGTTAATATTTTTGGCCCTATTCCATCTTTACATATATACAGTACATGTCTTTAAAATAGTTGTTAATATTTACTTGTTTTTAATTGTACACTTGTATTTTAATTGGTATATAGTTTAATTGGTTTTTTAATGTTTAACTTATTGTGTTTTTAATTTTATTCCTTTTAATACTGTGAACTGCCTTGGTTCCACTTGTTGGGAGAACAGTGCCCTATAAAAACACACACAAATAAATGTGTAATTCTAGCCCTATTCCATCCTTACAAATGTATACCTAGAATCTTGGCCCTATTCTATCTTTACAAATGTAAATGTATAATTCCAGCCCTATTAATTCCTCACAAATGTACAAATATAATTCTAGCCCTATTTCATCCTTACAAATGTAAATGTATAATTCCAGCCCTATTCATTCCTCACAAATGTACAAATACAATTCTAGCCCTATTTCATCTTTACAAATATAAATGTATAATTCTAGCCCTATTCCATCCTCACAAATGTATACCTAGAATTCTAGCCCTATTTCATCCTTACAAATGTAAATTTATGATTCTAGCCCCATTCATTCCTCACAAGTGTACACATATAGCGCTATTTCATCCTTACAAATGTAAATGTATAATTCTAACGCTATTCATTCCTCACAAATGTACAATTCTAGCCCTATTCCATCCTCACAAATGTATACCTAGAATTCTAGCCCTATTTCATTCTTACAAATGTAAATGTATGATTCTAGCCCTATTCATTCCTCACAAATGTATAGCTAGAGTTCTAACCCTATTCCATCCTCACAAATGTATATCTAGAATTCTAGCCCTATTATATGTTTACAAATGTCCACCTAGAATTCTAGCGCTATTCCATCCATACAAATTTACTTCTAGAATTCTAGCCCTATTCACTCATTACCTGGCTGATTATAATCCAAGGAGAGGCGCAACAAGCCTTACACCTCTTTGCCACTGCTTTTCTCCACCTGGATAGCACCAGATCTCCCAAAGGTTCCAGCTAACAAGTAGAACCTCTACACAGTCATGAGCTTCTATTATTCCTTTGGTGAAGAAAACCCAGAACACGGCTTCTGTCTCTAGAGATGAGAAAAATCTATAGATTGCTCTTGGCTGGGACAGATGGGTGGAAAATGTTGATGAGTTCATTTGTGGGGTGGAGAGACAGTCCAAAATTGCAAATATCTTCAGGACAGAAGGAACTTGAGACTGAAATAAATAAATAAAAAGGTGCAAAGAAAGCAAACCAGATTGCTCTCTTCCTAGCTGGACTTAGTAAAGGAATTACCTGCGTTTATTTTATTTTTTTCACCCTAGTGGATAAACGTATCTATCTGTAGTTTGTCCACATTTTGGAAAAGGCAGAAAGTGCCTTTTTAAAAATAAGTGATGCAGAGCCACATAAGGGAAAAATGAGACAGCAAGAGGAGAATTATACTGCCGATGCCTTAAAAAGTCTGGAAAATGAAACCACAAATCAAGGAAAAAATTATTGCTACTAATTAAGTTACTTCCTTTCCTATAATTTTCTCCTCTCCTCCCCTCTTTTTAAAAGTGGCATTTATCTCTCCTCCTCCTCCTTCCTATGTGTGTCTTGGTAATATTTTGATATTCTTCATTCCGTTTTCAAGAATGGGGGTTGGGATAGTAGGATCTTTTGCTTAAAATTCTTATTACCAGTAAGCAATTCTTAGAAGAGGAGCTGTAAGCTTTTTGAGAGGTGGGGGAAAACCTGAACAGCTGTGAAATCACCAGAGGATAGTGTTTTATGGAGGGAGGCATGGAGATCTAGCAAAGAATGAACAGCGTAAATTGAGAACCCAGTTGGACCAAATTCAGCCACAGTTCACATTTTGAAACCTCGGGTCTGCCCCAAAGCTTGGGAGGATCTTGTTCCAAGCAACAATAAGTCATTTTGGAAATAATGAATAATTTTAGTTGTAGTTGCAAAGTTACTTTCAGGTGCAGCCACCTAGGGTATAATGAGTTGCACTTGTTATTTCCTAAAGTTCCTTTTCAGGGATTTTTGAGGTATTTGACAGCAGTTTTCAGGTTTTCTGCTATGCTCTTATAGCTCTCAAGTAGCAAAAGAAGTATGTTTTCTTGTTTTTAATTAATATTTCCAAGATGCAATCTCAGAAAAGGCCACTAGGGGGAACCAGAGAATATTTCCCTGCAATTTTTTTTCCTGGGCGGCTGAGAACAGAAAGATCATGTGTTCCCATCACTACAACATGTTAATACATACAGTACAACAGATTACTTGATTGGAGTGATAAAATAATGACTGTAATCAATTTCTGAAAAAGCAATTAGAAATGCATGAAATGCATTTTAAAATGTCACGTCCTGAATGTTCTTTCCCACTCCATATCTTCATAGGTCCACTCTCAAATTGGTTGTCTGAACGGTGTCTTCTCCATGGTCCAAAGGTTTGGTGGCCCTTGTTGTGCATGCACATGGTTTGCCATAATTGTATCAGCGTGCTAGTCTTCCTGCAGCCCTTTCAAGCTTTAATTATTCAAGCCTTTGAAAGACAAACATAAACAAAGGGATATCATAATCTCACAGATTGTGTGAAGGTGACATTCACTTTAAAGGCTGACGGTGTTTCCCTATGTCTTCCCCCTCTGTTCAGTATTTCCAAAACTTCAATGCACAGAACCACAGTACTTTTCTGAATTGTGTGTCATCTTTTATTCTTCTGTGCATGTATGATGATGGCTATGGTGATGACAATGATGGCGGTAGTGATAGGGATGGTGCTAAATCCAGGTGACTGGGCTATATCCAGTGTTAGTCCCTGCTACAGTATACAGTGGTGCCTCGCTTAACAATTTCCCCACATTACGACGAATCCGCTTTACGATGATCTTTTTGTGATCACAATTGCAATTGCAAAATGATTGTCTAAATGGGGGAATTTCACTTTGTGATGATTAGTTCATCGGTGAGTTTTTACCCCATTGGAACGCATTGAACGGGTTTCAGTGTGTTTCAATGGGGTTTCTATTTTCGCTTTACGATATTTTCGTTTAACGGCAATTTTCCTGGAATGGATTATCATCGTTGAGCAAGGCACCACTGTATCTGTGAAAATCAATGCAATTTACATAAATAGAGTCAAGTTCCATTCATTTCAGTGGTCTAAATTGAATTGTTGGTGTAACTAGAATGTCGGATCAATAGGAAACGGAATTCAAAAGTTTCGTGGACTCCATTGATTCAAAGGATCTGGCCCAATGGGGACTTACTTTGAATTTAGGTCATTGGGTCTACCTTTGTTTGGATGAAGATTGGATTTAGCCTCTAATGATTAAGGCAATGAGGATTTGTGTTGGAGTAATTGATTCATTTGCAGTGTGCTAGAGGAGAGCCTTGTGAATACCCTGGACTGCCAGAAAGACAAACAAGTGAATCCTAGATCGAATCAAGCCTGAACCATACCTGGAGGCAGAAATGATGAAAGCGAGGCTTGTCCTACTTTGAGCACATTGTGGGAAGGCAGGATTTGCTGGAAAAGTCAGGAATGGTGGACAAAAGGAGTGTTTTGGTGGTGCTCAGCCTCCCTTCATACCCAGAATCTAACTTTTAGATTAGAAGAAAAGGGTCTCTTTCCATGGTGTGTGAAAACTGGATGCCCAACTGAAGCATAGCGAGGACAGACTTCAATGGTGTTAAGCCAATTGGCGGTTCTCCATCCTTAGGGTGGTAGAACTTCAGCTGTGTCCTCCACGATTTTGTGTAGTCACTGGTCCTTGTCCACCTCACCAGGCAGGATTGTTTGAAGCATGAAACCCCCATTGATCTCCAGACATTTCAACCTCTTCTTCGCATAACCCAACTTCCTTGGAACGAAGGATGGGGATACGAAGCACCGGGTTCCTAAGAGGGCTGTAGAGGAATCAAACTTTTGGGACCGAACGTTCATACGTTTGCTGTGCGTTTGAAACAGTTGGCATTTGGTCAATGATGAAATGCTGAGTTTGAGTTTGCATGAAGTACTGGTTTACCTCATTAGCTTGCCTAATTAATATGCCATCAACCATTCTACATGACACTGTCCTTGTTCTCCCTCTGCTGTCTGTGTCTACACACATACATAGGCCGATGGAAGGAAGCTGCAGGCGGCTGCAGTCAGTGTTTGAAACTGTTGTGGTCGTAGTTTTATTGACTTACGCATCCCATTTCTAGTTTGCTGTTTACCCAAGGGACTTAAGTCATTTGAAAAGTGATACCCAGGAGGCAGTTGATGGAGTCTTTGATTCTAGAGAGTGCCCAGTTGTATCAGATCAAAGACATCTCAAGTCTACTAGCCTGAATCTCATGATGGCTAAAGAGAAGCCCATGAGAAGCCCACAAGGAAGGTAAGAACAGCAATCATTTAAAAGGCTGAACGGACATAGGAAACTTGATTATACTGAATCAAACCTATGGTCCATTCAACCAAGTATTGCCAACTCTGTCAAGCAGAAGATCTCCAGGATTTCTAACAAGGTTCTGTCCTACATAGCCTGACTTGGAGATCTCTCCTAATATCCCCCACACTTGATTCTGCTTTGCTCCCAAGAGCAGGTAAGGTTGGAGGTGTTCAAGCTGGTATGGTGGAAATGGGACCTTCATGTCCTCAAGCAGTCCATTTTTGGTGGAGAACAATCAGCAGAAGAGGGCAGTTGTTTCAGTGAAGTGAAGTTCTTGGAGGCATCTGACCAGTCAGAGAGGAAAACGAGGTGCTCAACTAGCTGTACCTTGGACTTGAACCAGTGAGGTTCTTCCTGCGTCCCCTTGTCCCTTCCAAACACTTACCTATTTCTAAATATTACTTTTCAGGCTCCTAAATTCTTCTTTTCTTGCTTTTCCCAGTTACAGAGAGCCGAGGGGTTCTGGAGAGTACCCAGAAATTCTCCTTGCTTCCGACGTACCTGCCGGTGAGCTATCACATCCGCAACGCCGATGTCTCCTTCTTCCTCAAAGAGGCCAACCAGGATATCATGAGGAACTCGAGCCTTCAATCCCGGGTGGAATCCTTCCTCATCTATAAGTCCAAGAGGCTGCCCATCCTAAATGCCACCTATGGACCGTTTTCTATTGAGCAAGTGATCCCTCAGGAACTGCTGCTCCCTTCGAACCCATTTGGATCTGCCGCCCCCAAATTTTCGTTCAACTGGAAGCTGAAGGCATACATTATGAACAGCAAGATCTACCCAACGCGACCGAAGGTCCAGATTCTTTTCTACGTTGTCGGGAGGGACTGGGACGATTACAGTGTCGCCGAACGACTGCCCTGTTTACGAGTCTTTGCTTTCCGAGAAACGAGGGAAGTCCGAGGCAGTTGCAGACTGAAAGGGGAGCTGGGATTATGCGTGGCTGAGTTAGGGCTCCTCCCCAGCTGGTTCAACCCCCCTACGGTGGTCGCTGGCCGTAAGAAGCTCCCGAACCAGTTGGAAGGGAGTCCGGTGGAGCTTTATTACACAATCCAGCAGGGAGACGAGAAAGGAGATTGTCCCAAAGAAGCGCCGAAGAAAAATAATGGGATCAGGCCTGGGCGCAATGATATCGATGAATCGGGGCCGCCTTTGCGGAGGATCGGAAGTGTTTTCCTTTACCAGACACGAGGTAGCCCTTCCATGAGCGAAATGCGGTTGGATAATAACATCGCCATCCAGTATATACCAAAGACGGTCAAGCAAGGGGATGTCTTGACCTTCGTTGTGTCGATAGCAACAAACTCAACAGAAGACCAGTTTACACTGAGGTAAGGCCACAAAGACTTGTTTGAAACTCAAGACGGATACCTTCCCCAGAATTTTAATTTTCGCTTAACGAATGTCAAACATGCTTTCTGTGCTCCATTTTGGGGGGATGGTTGGGTTGAAGGTTGAAGTCAAATCCTATGTGGGCCAAGCTGATGATGTTTAGGAGTGTATTCTGCTGCATTCCCGTGCTTTGCATAGAGCAGGGTTTGCGAGAAACTGAAGCCTGCTTCAGGCAGTGACATGCAATGGCTTGTAGTACTTGAAATGCTTTGTTGTGCGGCAGCATCTAGTTTTGACCCATGTTGAATAATTATGCTATAATGTTAAGAAGTATTTGAATGCTGGAATGTGTTGGTAGTGAGGGGAAATGCTGTGGACCAGGGGTAACACACATAGATTGGAAGTAGAAGATCCAGATTCATTTCCAGTTTGAACTGTTTACACGGGAAGAAAGAGAAGATTTCGAATGAGTTAAGAATGGAAGGATCCTCCATTTCTTCCTTTTGGGTCTGTCTCCCTGTAAGTGCATCGAGGGGGAGTCATTTCCTCTCTTGAATTAGAAACCCAACGCAGAGAATGTCTCCTGCACTTTCCGGTTTAAATTCTGAGACACTGGCGAACATTTGCTTCTTGTCTCAAATAGTGACTTATTGGAAGTATTTGAACTTTGCAGGATGCTGGTGATGGGATGATGACTGAAAAGGGGGCAGGAGTTGAGAGCTTTTCAAACATCTCTGTCTGCAAGGGTGTGTTTTTACCCATTTGTCCCGTGAATGCCTTCTGATTCCTGGTGGGAAGTTCTGGAAATTCTGGAGCCCGGCTTCCTGACTCGTACTGCACCCGAGGACACACAGCGCAGTCTTATGCCCAAGAGCGCAATCCAGTAGGTCATTGGTTCCCAACCTTGGACCGCCAGGTGTTTGTGCACTAGAACTCCCAGAAGCCTTCACCATAAGCGCAATCCAATAGATCATTGGTTCCCAACCTTGGAACGCCAGGTGTTTGTGGACTAGAACTCCCAGAAGCTTTCACCATTTGCTGTGCTGGCTAGGATTTCTGGGAGTTGTAGTCCAAGAACATCCGGGGGACCCAAGATTGGGAAGCCCTGGGATAGATACTTAACTGGAAATCCCCCTGAAATCACAGGAGGATTTACTCCTGAGATTTCTGTTACTGTTCCAGGATGAATCAGGAAAACAACAAAAATGAAATGCAAGCTTGGAAGTGTCAAGGTAAAGAGGAGTCCTGTTGTATCTCTGTATGATTTACATGTTTGCCTTACATCCCTACACCCAACCTTAGGCCCTGGGATAGATACTTAACTGGAAATCCCCCTGAAATCACAGGAGGATTTACTCCTGAGATTTCTGTTACTGTTCCAGGATGAATCAGGAAAACAACAAAAATGAAATGCAAGCTTGGAAGTGTCAAGGTAAAGAGGAGTCCTGTTGTATCTCTGTATGATTTACATGTTTGCCTTACATCCCTACACCCAACCTTCACCTTATGTGATTCTTCATTGATTTAGGCTGGATCAGGCCATCATGGCCAGTGTTTATGGAAAGGCACATGGTCTGATTTCCTTTGAGATTGCCAGCTATGTACGAGGCAGTCCTTTCTATTTGCCTCCCAATGATCAGGTGACAGGATAGAGACGCTATGCTGGCGATACCACCAGTCACTAAGGAATATACAACAGAGTATATTCTTGGTGCCGTATATCGCTGCTGGCAGCCGGTTGGTTGGGTTGTAAATCCATGCGTGTATTGTTCTTGAGCACAAGAATGAGAAACTGCCCAAATTTAGTGCCCAAATGTTCAGAGTTGTTTGGTTGTCATCTCTCTTTTTTTTGCGCAAAATTGCACAATGCTTAAAATCATGTGAAATCACATCTGCTCAAATGAGGGTGACTGTTGCTTTATTTAAGAATTTGCCGTTTGTTTCATTTGTGACAGTGACCTGGTCCTCCAGGGCCGTGTGTATGTGTGTGTCTTTGTGTGTGTCTACGTGTCAGCACCGTGCTTCTCAAAAGGAAAAGGCACTAGATTTTACAGAAATTGCAGAGACTTTGAGGGGGCAAAAGATGTCACGTTGTCTTGTACTCAGATGGAGGTGGGAAATCTTGAGTAGCTTTAAAATTCCTCATTGTGGTGTTTTCATTGTGGCTGTGCACTCTAATAACAAGGAATTTAGTAAGTCTTATTTCCGTGCCTATGTAGGACATCCGTTTTCCAAAACAAAGAAATAAACAACTCCAAATGCAAAGGCAAGCATTAGCGCAACCCAACTCTTTAAAAATCCACCGCGAACAAAACTTCCAATCTGATTTATTAGCAATAAATAATGAAAAATCCACCAGACGAAGCCGGAAACCACCACCGACAGCAAGAAGAAAAACACTGAAGAAATACTAAATATAAAAACCGATTTGCAGAAATGGAGAACACAGGCGTGCACAAGCCTCTTGTGTAAATACCTTATTTTTAAAAGAGGCAACAATACGGATGCTAAACACGAGTAGCAGAAAAATTAAAAGCTACATCATGCTCCCATACCTGCCTAGAATGAAAAGGATTTTACCCCATGCTGGAAAAACAAAATAATGATGGATTGTAGCTGGGGATTGCCATTGTGCTGGAACTGTTTTAATTTACAAATAAAGCACCTTTGTATTAACTCCCAGGCGTTTGTGTAGCACTGTTTTCTCATCACTTCGGTTTATGTATGCAAAAATGGTACGTTGGAATCTCGTTTCCCGCATCAAGGAGATCTATGAAGGCCATCTTCATAAACCTTCCTTCGTTCCCAAGGTGTGAGGAACATTTTTCAGCATCTCAACACCCTTGCAAATGGCGTTTTGCAAAACTTGAAAGAGGGATTTTTTTTAACCAACACAGTAAGAGTTGTCTACAGAGCGTGCTAAGTCAGGAGGACAACTAGAACTTTACTCATTATAATACCCATTCAGAAGATTCCCACTGGAACCTTCGAACCAAAGTTCTTTTGGCGTTTTTGTAATATTGTCCCAAAGTTTTAGAACTCTGAAATTTTAGGCAGGGTGCAGAGTGTTATTTTTAAAACATTACTTGTTTTTTTTTAATTGCTTGGTGACTGCCAGGTGTCGGTTCTTATTTTCCTTCCTCCCCTTCCTGATAAACAAAAACAGATTTATTTCTTTTTTAAAAAAATCAGCAAAGTACTCTTGGGCTCCCCCTAGTGTCCAGCTTTAACATGATCCTCAGGAATACTTATAAAAGTATGATAGAGGAAGCAAAACAAGATGTCCCTTGGTAAAATGTTTCTGTGCAAAAGGGGTGTCCTTTCCCTTTCAGAAGCAAAATGTGCGGAGCAAGTGAAGAACTGGATAATTGTTCAGAAAGATGAAAGCAACCTACCCTATGCTTCTAATTCTTTAAACATTCCATGGGGCACTTCCTTAGCTTTTGTCATTTTGTGCAATCTGCATTATTATTAAGGCAAAAAATGGTTGTCAGCAGGGTGAGAACTCTTGTTCAGACCAAGAAAAACACCTGATTCCCCAGAGCGAAAAACATACAGTCTCCAATTCTTGTGGAGGAGAAGAAAAGAAACGAAGACAGAGAACAAGAGAAACGAGGAAGAACACGACAAACGAAGAGCCCTATCCAAAAGGAACCAAAGCATAATTCTATGGGAGACCCAGACAAAAGGGAACAAATCCTGCTCGAGATGCTGTTACCATTCATTGACGCAATGATGGGGCCATTTCCCACCTGTCATGTTCTTGTAGGAGAGTATATCATCAAAGCACAGTTGAACATGTGTGTCTGTTTTCCCCCCTTGCGGTTGCGTTGCCTGGATGTTGCCGTTCACCTCCTGACCCATTCATCCTAAGCATTCCATCTGTTCAAGCCTTGGTTTCCAGCCCAATGGAGCAAAAGGGATGGTGAAAGTCTTTTGCCAGCAGCTCTTGGCCTCGAATCATCGGGCTCGGATGTGAGAGGCCGTCTGCCTCTTGACAAAAGCCTGCGAACCGACAACAGGGAAGAGGGGAGGGTGAGCGTGTTTTCCGGTGGGTTGTTTGTTTCCCCCGAACAGAGTCGGCCACGGCTGCTACCTTCTCTCCTCGACCCGCCCACCCCCTCAAAAGAAAACTGAGGTGAACTGTTGGACAAGTTTGGCTTTATTTTGTCTTCTCTCCCGGTGCCAAGGTTGAAGGACGAATTTGGTGTGCCAGGGTGCTGAGCAGACGCCAGGCCTCCCCCAAACGGTTCCTCTTCGTTCTGCTTTTTAATTGTGAAGAGCGAGTGTCAGCCGTGGGCCGTGCCGAATCTCCCATGGAGAACCCCAGCTGGGCGTGCTACAGGTCACCGATTCAATTCCAAATACCCCCAGGTAAAGCTGGAACAAATTTGACCTGAAAAGCCCGCAGAGCTTCTATCGAGCAATACTAGGCTGGATGGTGTAATGTTATGAGTTGGTGTCTGGCAGTTTCTTAAATTCCTGGCTAGAGGGGGAAACGTTTTATTGCGTTTTGAGGTCCAAAACAACCTGACAAAAGGACAGAGGAATGAGCTGAAAGATAACTTTATACCCAAGAGTATTCATGAACTTTCTGTCCATGGATCTTTGAGTAACAACCCATTCTGAGCATTCCTTGAATGACAAACTCCTTGATATTAAGGGAGTGTCACTACCTCATTGACTCAACCATTACAGGGCATTTAGGAGCAAACGATCCCTTTGGAACTATCTAGTCAAAGTCTAGTTCCCTGTGATGGCCAACCAGAAAACTGGGACCTTGGGAGAGCCACATTCTACTGCTGTTGTTTCCAAGAAACCAGAACTTGGAGGGGTGCACCTCTCCTCTTCCACAGAGGATGTATTTACCAGGATTGGGTGCCGAAGATGGCTTTACTTGACTTGCCGACGCCTCTGTAATGTGTATCATTTAATCCAGCACAAAACTACCATCCCGTGTACATCCCTACCGAAGCTGGCTGGAAGAGGATAACCATCT